CAGAGAATTCATACTGGAGAAAAGCCATACAAATGTAAAGAATGTGGCAAAGCTTTTACTGTTAAGACAAGCCTTATTGCTCACCAGAGAATTCATACTGGAGAAAAGCCATACAAATGTAAAGAATGTGGCAAAGCTTTTACTGTTAGGCCAAGCCTTATTGCTCACCAGAGAATTCATACGGGAGAAAAGCCATACAAATGTAAAGAATGTGACAAAGCTTTTACTCAAATCTCAAAACTTATTATTCACCAGAGAATTCATACTGGAGAAAAACCATACAAATGTAAAGAATGTGGCAAAGCTTTTATTGAAAGATCATACCTTACTCAACACCAGAGTTTTCATACTGGAGAAAAGCCCTACAAATGTAAAGAATGTGGCAAAGCTTTTTATCTAAATTCAAAACTTACTGTTCACCAGAGAATTCACACTGGAGAAAAGCCCTACAAATGTAAAGAATGTGGCAAAGCATTTAATCAAAACTCAAGTCTTAATGTACACCAGAGAATTCATTCTGGAGAGAAACCATACAAATGTAAAGAATGTGGCAAAGCATTTAATCAAACCTCAAGTCTTAAAGTACACCAGAAAATTCACACTGGAGAGAAAACATACAAATGTAAAGGCCATGGAATGAGGCAAAGTTGTTAAGTAATGCCTCAAGTATTATCAAGCAGCAGAGAATTCATACTTGAGAAAATCCTTACAAATATAAATGTTAAAAAGCATTCATTGTGACATCATACTTTATTGATCACCAGATAATGTAGAGTAGAACAAAGCCCTACAATTGAAGAAAAAAATGTGGCAAAGTTTTTACTTAAAGCTCAACATTTTAAAAATGTCAAATGTTATATTAGGGATTAAACCCTACAAATGTAGAGTATGTGACAACACTTTTAATAGAAGCTCACACCTTACAAATCACCATAGATTTATTACCTGAGCTCTATAAATGTAAAGAATATGTCAAAGCTTTATTCAAATGAAAAAAATTATACTTTCTCAAAACCTAATTCATGTTAATATCTGCATAAAACTGTCTGTCCAAGATGCATAGCTCATGTATCAGTAAAATGTTTAATATTAAGAAAAATGTTGACATATGAGAAAAATACAGCAAAGTCATTGTTTTCCATATATTTCTGAATGAGAATTATCAGAGAATTTCTGTAAGTATAGAAAATGTGGCATTACTTTAAACAGTTTCTTAAAATTTACTGGGCATCATTAGTTGATGTGATAGAAATAAAGTAACCCTCAGATATCAACATAGTGCAGATAGCTCATCCCTGAAAAAAATTTGTTATAAATAAAAACTAAATATATATACTCAAAAACTGGAGAAAAGATAATTTTTCCTCTAGGAAATTATATCAAGGAAGAATACTCATTAATGAGAATTTTAAATTTGACTTTTTTCTTGTTGTGGTGGTGATGAGGATTGAACCCAGGGCTCTTGAATGCTAAGCAAATGTTCTACCACTGAGTCACATCCATAGCCATTTTATTCTGTATTTTGTGAAGACTTTACAATTATATTTGAAATACTTTATTCACATTGTGAAAGAATTTTGTTACAAAATAACAGTGAATGTTTCTGAATTGTTAACACTATCATGTATTGAATTACATATTATGATAGTTTGTAGGTAACATCAACAACAAAGAGATACTGTTTGGTAAACAATGTGACATTTTTCTTAATCCTTTTAGGCAATGTAATCAATCTTCAAATTATGTGGAGATGATTTAATTATTTCTAAAGAAACTGGCTCAATAAATTGTCTAATTTAATCTTTTCTCATTTTTATATTTATTGTGGACAAAGACATTATAGGAAATATAAAGAAAGATGATAACAAACCCAGATTGCTAAATCTTAAGTTACTATTTCAAAATTTTATTCTATAATTTATGGGTGTTTTATTGATATATTGATATCCCTTCATATCATGAAAATTGGTTTTGATTGAAATTTATTTGAATATACAAATTTTCCAATCTAATGATAAAGTTTGATAGAAGTAGTAATTCTCTCTCTCTTTCTGTCTCTCTGTGTATGTATAACAGAGAGAATAGATGTGTTTGCTTATGCCTCTGTTTAGAAACAAAATAACTTATTTAACTGAAAGAGAATTTCAAGATTTTTCATGATTACTAGTAAACTATAAACAACAAATATCTTTTAACAATCTTCTGAGGTACACTAAACTCATTTCTTCCAAATACATGATTCCTGATTTAAAAATCTTGCCACACCAATGTTGGCCTTTCTATTTGCTTGTTACTCATGGAACATGTAACATATAACTTTTTCGTTTGAAACTTTTATAATACATTGCTATATGATCTATTCAGAGAATTTAAGAATAATTTTAATGATAGTTACTGGTATTCAGAAATTAGTTTGAAAGAATTATTTCACAGTGAGAATATTAACAAAACATTTTGTTTTATTAATGTATTTCATTATTTTTTTCTTTATGAAAAAACACTTAGTTATTTCAAATTTAATGCTTCAATTTATTGGACATCTTAAAATTTAGACAATTTATTGAGCCTGTTTCTTTAGACGAAAACTGCATAGATTTCATAAGACATGAGGTTGTTTTGAACTTTCTATGAAATAAAAAATTATGAAACAGTGTTGGATATGTAATAAGTACTCCTTAACTGGGAGAAAAAAATTGGTTGTATTAGAATCAGCTAATTTCTCCATCTAGGAATGAAACATCTGGGGTGAAGAAATGACATTAATTCTGTTAATTTAGAGTGAGGAACACTTCAATTCTGCACTACTGTGAATTTAAGAGATTTTTCTTTTATTTATTAACTATCTCAAATTTCTCATTAAATCTTTAACTTTCAACAACACAAGCATGACAACTATTTTTTTTATTGCCAGTGTTATGACTAGTGTTTTCACTTTGGTAAATCCAAGTCTTCTTACAGGATTTTTTTCTTCTTCCTTTTCTTTCTTTCTTTTTTCTTTTTTTGATTTTCATGAGTATATTGACATTTTACTAAATTAAATATATAGCATATTTTGATGTTTTCTGTGTCTTGATTTTAAATTTTCTTGATTTCTGTGTCTTTATTTTAAATTTTCTTTAAAAATTACTTGGAAAATTACAATTGTGGGATACAGAGTGAAGTTTCAATCCATGTATACATTATATAATCAAATCAGTAATTTCATGTGCTTCACCTCAAGATATTTTTCTTGATATGATAAGCAACTTATGAACACTTTCTTCTAGTTTTCTTGGAATTAATGGAATATCATTAATATGTATTCTCCTTACTATGTAATAAAGCCATAAATCTTACTTTCTCTATTTTTTATTTTCTAGTTTCTACTTTCCCTATTGTTTATTTTCCCCTCGGGAGGTATCTTCTCCACTCCCCCTCTCAGGGAGCTATAATTTTACTCTGTACTTAAATGACATCAACATTTTTAAATTTTACCCATCAGAACCTGCAGTGCTTGTTATTCCTTGTGTAGCTTATTTTACTTTGTTCAAGTTTTTGTAAGTTAATCTGCACAAAGACATTATTTTTATAGTAAAATTAAGCATCTTTTTTCATTTGCTTATTTGCTGTTTTTTTCTTTGGAGTAACATATATTTAAATCCTCTGCTTGCTTTTTACAATTGGGTTCTTGGGCTGATGCCCAGAGGAGATGGACCAGAGTGACCCCAGCCTGACCTGCAGAGAAGGTGAATGACTGCACATTTGAGGAGGAGAGTGATCACAGTGCAGTTCCCCCCATCTACCAACATGGCTGTCCAGCCCACTTCCATCTGGAGACAACAGCCAGGACCTGGAAGACCATCAAGTTCTCTGAAGGCCTGGTTACACCAGAGGCAAGGTTTTGGTATCCTGCAAGGACACTACAGAACTATAGAGAAGAAACTGTAATACCTCAGATCTGCACTGGCAGAGAGAAACATACATGAATAACATGAAAAAACAAGGGAAGAAAGTGCCCCAGACAAACTAAGATAATATAAAAATAGAATCCATTGACAGCACAGTAAATAAAATGTCAGAGAAGGAGTTCAGAGTGTACATAATGAAGGTGATCTGTAAATCAAACAATGACAGAACAAATACAGGCACTAATTGATCATTCCAATAGAGATAAAGAGAGCAAATACAGGTAGCAAAAGATTACTTCAAGAAAGATATAGAAATACAAGAGGCTTATAGGACACTAACTGTACAAAATTACAACAGATCTACACCAAGGCACATTATAATGAAAATGCCTAGCATACAGAATAAGGATAGAATCTTAAAAGCCACGATAGAGAGAAATCAGATCATATATAGAGGAAAACCAATTCGTATCTCAGCAGATTTTTCAGCCCAGACCCTCAAAGCCAGGAGATCGTGGAACAACATATACCAAGCTCTGAAAGAAAATGAATGCCAACCAAGAATCATATTCAGCAAAACTAAGCTTTAGATTTGATGATGAAATAAAAACTTCCATGATAAACAAAAGTTAAAAGAATTTACAACTAGAAGCCCTGTACTACAGAACATCCTCAGCAAAATATTCCACACAGAGGAAATGAAAAACAATGATGAAAATCAGCAGAGGGAGGTATTACACTAAAGGAAAATCTAATCAGAGGAGGAGAAACCAAATCAGGTTAAATACCAAAAATAAAAAAAAAATGGCTGGGAATACAAATCATAACCCTGAATGTTAGTGGCATAAACTCACCAATCAAAAGAAATAGACTAGCAGATTGAATTTTAAGAAGGACCCAACAATATGCTGCCTCGAAGAGACTCATTTTATAGGAAAAGACATCTGCAGACTGAATGTAAAGGGTTGGGAAAAAATTATACCTCTCACATGGACTGCAGAAGCAAGCAGAGGTTTCCATACTCATATCAAGTCAAGTAGATTTCAACCTAAAGTCAATCAAAAAGAATAAAGAAGGACACAGCATACTGCTCAAGGGAACCATATACCAACAAGACTTAACAATTATAAATATGTATGACCCAAACAATGGAGCATCTATGTTCATCAAACTGTTCTCAAGTTTAAGAGTCAAATAGACCAGAACACCTAATTTGAGGTGAATAATTTAATAATTAATTTGGACAAATAATTTGAGGTGACTTTAACACATCTCTTTCATCCCTTGATAGATCTTCCAAACAAAAGCTGAACAAATAAACTATAGAACTCAATAACACAATCAATAACTTAGACTTAACTGACATATATAGACTATTTCATTCTTTAAATACACTTTCTTCTCTGCAGCACATGGATCCTTCTCTAAATAGACCATATATTATGCCACAAACCAACTGTTAGTAAACATAAAAAAGTAGAGATACTACCGTGTATTCTATCAGATCATGATGGAATGAAATTAGAAATCAATGATAAAATAAGAATTAAAAGCTAATCTAACACCTGGAGACTAAATAATATGCTACTGAATAAACAATGGGTTAGGGAAGACATCAAAGAGGAGATTTAAAAGTTTTTACAGGTGAATGACAACATATCGAAATCTCTGGGACACTATGAAAGTAGTTCTAAGATGAAAGTTCATTGCATGGAGTTCATTCCTTAAAAGAAGAAAAAGTCAACAAATAAATGACTTAACATTTCATTTCAAAGCCCTAGAAAAAGAATAAAAAATCAACACCAAGCAGCAACAGAAGACAGGAAATAATTAAAATCAGAGCTGAAATCAATGAAATTGAAACAAAAGAAACACTTAAAAAATTGACAGAACAAAAAGTTTGTTCTTTGAAAAAAATAAATGAAATTGACAGACCCTTATCCATGCTAACAAAGAGAAGGACAGAGAAAACTCAAATTACTCACAAACATGATGAAAAAGGAAATATAACAACAGACACTACAGAAATACAGAAGATAACTAGAAATTATTTTGAAAACTTTTACTCCAAAAAAATAGAAAATATTGGAGTCATCAACAACTTTCTAGTCCAAATTGAATCAGGATGATATACACAATTTAAACAGATCTATTTCAAGTGACCATCAGAAGTCTACCAACCAAGAAAAGCCCAGGACCAGATGGATACACACCCAAGTTCTGTAAGACCTTTAAAGAAAAACTAATACCAATAATCTTCAGTTGACTTCAGGAAATAGGAAAAGGAAGAGCACTTCCAAACTCATGCTATGAGGCCAATATCATCCTCATTCTAAAACCAGGCAAAGACACATCAAAAAAAGAAAATTTCAGACCAATATCTCTAATGAACATAGATCTAAAAATTCTCAATAAAATTCTGGAAAATTGAATACAAAAGGATCATGCATGACGATCAAGTGGGATTCATCCCAGGGATGTAAGGTTGGCTCAACATATGGAAATCAATAAATGTGATTCATCACATCAATAGACTTAAAGATAAGAATCATATGATCATCTCAATAGATGCAGGAAAAGCATTTGACAAAATACAGCACCCCTTCATGTTCAAAACAGTAGGAAAATTAGGGACCATAGGAACATACCTCAACATTATAAAGACTATCTGTGCTAAGCCCCAGCCCGACATCATTCTAAATGGAGAAAAATTGAAGGCATTCTCTCTAAAAACTGGAACAAGTCAGGGATGCCCTCTTTCACCACTTCTATTTAACATAGTTCTTGTAACACTGGCCAGAGCAATTAGATGAAATAAATTAAATGGATACACATAGAAAAAGAAGAACTCAAATTGGCACTATTTGCTGATGATATGATTTTATACCTAGAAGACCCAAAAAACTCTACCACAAAACTTTTAGAACTAGTAAATGAATTCAACAAAGTAGGAGGATATAAAATCAACACCGATAAATCAAAGACATTTCTGTATATCAGTGACAAATCTTCAGAAAGGGAAATGAGGAAAACTATCCCATTTATAATAGCCTCAAAAATAAAATAAAATAAAATACTTGGGAATCAATCAAAGAGGTGAAAGATCTATATAATGAAGTTATAGGACTCTCATGAAAGAAATCAAAGAAGACCTTAGAAGATGGAAGGATCTACCTTGTTCTTGGATAAGCAGAATTAATATTGTCAAAATGACCATACTACCAAAAGCACTATACAGATTTAATGCAATTCTGATCAACATCCCAATGACATTCTTCATCGAAATAGAAAAAGCAATCATGAAATTCATCTGGAAAAATAAGAGACCCAGAATATCTAAAGCAATCCTTAGCAAGAAGGGTAAAGCAGGTGGCATCACTATACCAGACCTTAAACTATACTACAGAGCAATAGTAACAAAAACAGCATGGTATTGGTACTAAAATAGACTGGTAGACCAATGGTACAGAATAGAGTACAGAGAGACTAACCCACAAAATTACAATGATCTTATATTAGATACAGGCACCAAAAACATGCATTGCCGAAAAGATAGCCTCTTCAACAAATGGTGCTGGGAAAACTGGAAATCCATATGCAACAAAATGAAATTAAACTCTTATGTCTCACCATGCACAAAACTCAAATGGATCAAGGACCTAGGAATAAAACCAGAGACCCTGCATTTAATAGAAGAAAAAGTAGGCCCTAATCTCCATCATGTGGGATTAGGCCCCAACTTCCTTAATAAGACTCCTGTGGCACAAGAATTAAAATCAAGAATCAATAAATTGGATGGACTGAAACTAAAAAGCTTCTTCTCAGCAAAAGAAACAATCTGTGAGGTGAATAGAGAGCCTACATCTTGGGAGCAAATCTTTACTCCTCACACTAAGCTCTAGGGTATATAAAGAACTCAAAAAGCTAAGCACTGAAAAACAAATAACCCAAACAATAAATGGGCTAAGGACCTGAACAGAGACTTCTTAGAAGATGATATACAATCAATCAACAAATATATGAAAAAATGTTCATTATCGCTACCAATTAGAGAAATACAAATCAAGACTGCTCTAAGAGTTCATCTCACTTCAGTCAGAATGGCAGATATTATGAACACAAACAACAATAAATGTTGGTGAGGATGTTGTGAAAAAGGCACACTCATACACTGCTGGTGGGGCTACAAATTGGTGCAGGCAATATGGAAAGCAGTATGGAGATTTTTTGAAAAATTGAGAATGGAACCACCATTTGACCCATCTCTCTCCTCAGTCTATACCCAAAGGACTTAAAAACAGCATTCTACATGGACACAGCCACATCAATGTTTATAGCAGCACAGTTCACAATAATTAAACTGTGGAACCAACCTAGATGCTCTTCAGTAGGTGAATGGATTAAAAAATATGATTGATATATACACACACACACACACACACACAATG